TCAGTTGCAAGAAAAATGTTGAAAGCCAGTGGTAAGGATTCTGAGACCTCAAACAACAAAAAGTTTTATAATGTCTGTGGAGTCCGTTGGTGTGGGTAAATTGTGCCCTGCAGTCTCTGGGTCCACCAAGCCTGCAAAAACATAGATTTTGCACCATTTTTACTCTGAGAATATTCACTCACAGACACACAATCTCACACGAGTGGAGTTGAGATATGGTCAGTCACAGAAAGAGAGATACTCTTTGTTCTTTTGGATTGGTTCAATAACCCGTTTTTTAAGCATATTGCAATTTGCATCTTTTGTTTAATTGTTGCAACTTACCCCAGCATGTGTTACAACCTACCCCGGCAGGGGTACATACAAACATGTATTTGACATCAACTCATAAGGGATCTGATATTCTTGCAGAGGTTTCAATTGGTGCCTTTTGTAGCAAAACAAATCTGGGTGCTTTGTATAAAAGTTTGAGCACTCTATCTCAAACATTCACTGAATTGCAGATGCTAAAAAAAAATGTTCCCCAATATACATAATGTTATCACATTTTCTGGTTAAATAACCATTAGATCTAAAACAAGAGAAACCAAATTCTATTTTGTATTTTTACATTAACTATCTAATTAATGTTTCATTTATTAAAACCAAATATAAATCTTATCAATTTAGTTTCTAAGCATTTTTTTTCCAAAACGTTAACTAAAGGCAGTAATAATTTTAAAAAACACAATTTATTTGTGAACTAATGTTCAGCTGTTCTTTTTAATAGTCAACTTATTTTTGGATCATCAGTCATTGCTTTTGACGTGAAATAAAGCAGTGATATCTAAGTGGCTACTTACTTTTTAATTAGTCTTCCCATTAACGGCATAATGTTCATTCCAGCCTGTTCTCACGTAAATGCGTCTTTATAGCACGCATTGTGTATTATCGTGCAATTTATACGCGAAAATTAGTTTTTACGTGTATATGATACGCAGTTTTCGCGTGCATTTGATACGCAGTTCATTTGCGTGTAATACACACGCACCCCACACCACTAATTCTACCCAAACGTATAATACACACGCACCCCACACACCACTACTAAACCTACCCTAACCAACTCATGCGTATCCTATGCACGTAAAAACTCATTTTTGCGTATAAATTACACGATAAACACACTGCGTGCTATAGAGAGCATTTAGTGTGATCGGGTTGTTCATTCAGACGATTCACGAATGCGCACGAAAACAAGATGCAGGATTTATCGCACAAAACAATCATATCCAATCATACACTTGACTTTCCCCCATTAATTTTGAATCCCCCTCCCAAAAAATCCTCCACCAAACCCAGCACACGCTTTAGGGGGTCTTTTAAAAATCAATGGGATCAGAGGAGGCAAGATCGCGGTCTCCCGCCGTACCTTTACCTGGGTGTTCTTTTAGAAAAGCAAGTGATTTAAACACTTGTGTCACATTTTGTAATATTTGCACTGTTTTATTTTTGTAATAAGGATTGGATGGATGGATATGGATAATATTATTTTCTCATTACATTTTTCGAGGAGGCACTGCCTCCCTTGCCTCCATGTAGCCTATATACTGTATGTGTGTGTGTGTGTGTGTGTGTGTGTGTGTGTGTGTGTGTGGCCTGTTGTTGTGACCAAACCACAATTTGTTTGGAGCTATTTGCATATCCACACACACTTGGGTTTGTGTAATTATGTCAGTGTTCTTGAGTGATTATGGATTTCATTTTGAACCGATGTCGGTGAGCAGGCTGAGATAGACTTCTTGACACTCACAACACAAGGAGGAAGAGTGTCACCAGTCTCTTCTCATAATTGGTTGGAGGTTAAAAATAGCTTTGGCTAGCCATCATGGGGCTGATTTACAGCCTTCAACACACTCTCAGGGGGTTCTTTGAGCACTCTGCATGGTGTTTCCAAACACTTATTATGCATAGCCATGGAGGTCCTGCAGCATATACAGCACTCCATCTTGAATTTATCATTAACAGTAATCAACATTACATTTACTTGCATTACTGCAAGGTGCTTGAATGTGAGAGAGCAATCTTTGTGACCTTACTTGGTTATTTTATGTCAGGCATTTATCTTATGGTTCTCCTATAAATATGTATAACTGGGATTCACTGAAAACATAGTAGAATATATGCATACAGGTCAGTGTTCAAACTTCAAACACTTTTATGTCCGAGTTTTTATCACGCCTTCAAAATTTACTTTTCGAAAATGTACTAAATTTCCATAAAGTATATTGTTTTTTTTCTTTTGTGCGGCACTCAGACTTTCAATATTATGATAAATCATAAAAAATAATAATTACATTTAAAAAACATGATAAAACTACATGATTACTGAACAAACAGTAAAATAAATTGTATTAACTATCCCGTATGTATAGACATTTTCACAATAAACAATTTAGTCCACATAAAGTGTGTTCAGTTTCACAACTGTGTCAGATAGGTGCATGCTTGAGATTAAATATAAGGCATGTGATGTGTGAAAATATTTGCTTGTGTGCATATATTTATTAATAATCTTAAAAATGATAAATAAATGACAACTAAATGTATTCAGTTAGTTAAACAATGACATAAGATTATTTTTAAAATGGGTTAAATTTGGTTTAAAGTTGTAGGTAATTTCGGAATGACCACAACACCTTCAGCCTTAACTAAACCTTTAGGGAAACTTTCAGCTACACTGGCAATTCATCTCAAATAATCAGATGAATATGAAACAAGGATAACGGCCTGAATTGGCTCATGTTAATCTAACTCTCTCGCTATACCTTCTTGTCTTACATAAATTCTGGGCAAAAGGCCTTAGAATGATTCACACACAGAGACTTTACACAGGAGGACTGTGTCATTTGAGGGCTGACTTGGCTCGAGGAACAGTGCAGGACCGATATTCACTGGGTGCAATGTGACCTGTCACAGTGGATTCAGCTTCAAACAAGACAACCTCACAAAGGGTTCAAATGCAAATACGGCCACATATAAGATCAAGGTTCTAAGCTAATATTTGTATTTTTAATGTTTTTGAAAAAAGTATCATATGTTCAACAAGGCTGCATTTATTTGTTCAAAATGAATAGAAACAGAAATAAACAACAACAAAAATGCTGTACTATTTAAATTTGATACCTAATGATTTATTTCATTATGATATTGCACTGTTTTATGCTTTTAGACTATCAACTGGATGAATTCAAAACTAATTTTGACAGATTGATTTAACTAAACTAAAGGTCAAATAACAAAAATAAAAGCTATGAAGAAAGAGATTTACACATGGAGTATATTCATGCTTTGTCTTTAATCACTTCATAGAAAAGTAGCTTCAGATTTTATTGAACACAATATACAATATTATTACCATACATTGTGTGAAACATTGAATATTCACCTGCAACAATGTGGGATAACCAGACGATAAAAACTCATCCCTCATGCAGATAGCACTAATTCTGTTGAATCCCTTTGGACGCAAGTCGGACCAAAAGATCTCAGACATATAGATTAACAAAGTTTTACTGACAATTTGAATTTCAAAACTGCTAACAAGGTCAGAAAAATAGTTCACATTAGCACAAATAACTACAGAAGATCACATTTTCGTAATTGTATTGATTTCACATTGTGGTTCAGAGATTGTGATGTTGGTAACCAATTCCTAAATGTGCATTTACATGCCAACTCTGAGCCATTTTTAGCAATCTCCATTCAAAATGTTGTATATATTTGAGGGCCACGTTTTGTGGAGAATCTCGTGAGATACTGATTTATCAATGTTACACCAAACAGTGATACACAAAGCTTCTAATATCTGACAGATGTCTACAGTATGCATTTGTCTTATCTACAGACTCTCCCCTTTACCAATGGGTCGTGTGTCTCATAGGCTACTGTTCTGGGCAGTTGAAAATTGTGCAATATATTCATACATAGTATATATAATATATATTTATTTATATTAAAACATAAACAATATTACTAAATAAAACAGACTCAGTCCAAGAGCCCACTACACAAGAAACACCACCAATTTTCGGTAATGCAAGTGCATATAAATTAAACCATTTACAAAGAAACATTATTCCCTATGTACATTTAACAGTAATAAATACACTGTTATAAACAGTAGAGGACCGATCTGAGCGCATATAAACAAAGAGAATGGAAGGAGTTGTAAAAAGCGTGGGCTGGTGATGAAGCGCCCCCCACGGACGCTCATACACACAAACACAGTAATGTGTAGACACGTACATATGTGCGCACAAACATACTTTTGCATGCTACTTTGGCCATTAACTGTTTCCACTGTTGAGACTTTGAGCATAAGGTAGTTAAAGTACCTTAAAGCATGAACTACACACAAACTTAAACCTTAACGGTGACAAAATGTATGAAACGACAATGCTAATGTCATTACTAATACTGGCATGTTGAAATTTGACAAGTGTAATTGTAGTTTTTTTTCTTTTCATATCTTGCCCCTCCCCCCCCACCTTTAAAGTGAGCCAATCGGAGAAAGAAGTTGTTTTCTTAAGAAGACAAATGAGGAAAAGTTCTATATCAAAGTGTGTAAAAAGCTACAAAAGCTAGTTTAGACTGTTTTTCTTGATTCTGTTTCTAAGGTATGATGGGAAGGGTGGAAATGGCTGCTGTAAGGAAGACAATTATGATGAATTGAAAGCGAATGAATGTGAATTAAGTCAATATAGCTTTGGCTTCCCTGTGATTTTAGTACATTACGAGACCCCTTGTGATTAGATTTTTTGGGGGGTGATTGTATTCTGTTTTACAATCTAAGTAAATGGGGTCTTCATACTTAAGGGCATTTAAAGTTTTTTTGTGAACAGATTTCTTACCCTAATGTGAATGGGATGATGTATGGTTCCAAATAAACAGTTTGTGCTCATAGTTACGGAGTCTGACACAAATATAGATAGAATAAACAGAAAGTGCCTCTTTCATAATTTCTTAGTTTTCTGATCGTTTGTCAGATGTTTGGATTATTAAGTTATATTGCCAAACAAAGGAAGACACTAAGTTTTCTCTCCAGCGTAGATATAAAACAATTCTGCATGTTCGGTCTGGTTTGCTTTACAAAATGAAAACATTTCAACGTACAGTTATACTAAAATGTGTTCAATAAATAAAAGACTATTAAAAAGACAATAGTAAAAAGGCACACAGTCTTTAGACAAATGGTACAGAAAAGTAAACAGTTTCTCTCTTTACAAATACTTGTTCTTCAGTAGTTCGTTTTTGACCTCATCACACACCCATAGCTTTACAAAAAGTTTGTGTTGGTACAAAAAAAAGAGAAATCCTCTCAGTAGTGTCTACTCCTCACAATCTGGTAAACAACCAAACAAACTGTTCACGTTGGCCCCAATCCTTCACGTTTATCAAAGTCGCCTGCCAATCGTTCAGGTCCAAAATGTCTGCAGCATTTATTTCCTGAGAGCTCCTACAAACTGTCTCCAAACGTAAGTGCAAGGAGGGCAAGACATCCTCCTCCCACGGGGGACTAAAAAATCACCCCATGTGGGCTTTTTAAAAAGCATCAACTGCAAGATTTCTCCTCTTGCATGGGAAAAAATAGCTACCGCCTATCAAGGGACGCGAAGTCTTATGTGTCGACCGGTGAGGCGTCTTCGGTAACTATCTGGATGAGTGTAGTGGATTCCATTTCTTCCCCTCTGTCGTCTTCTTCCTCGTCTCCCTGGCTCTGTTCGTCTTTTTCCGTGCCTTCTGAGTCTTCCTCCTCTAGCGTGAGCTCGAACTGGAACTTGTCAGGGGCTGAACCCCCGCTGTTGCCGTCTTTGTCAGCCTGATCGAAGGGCGAGGAAGGGCTTATGGGGACCATGCTCTGGTACCAGTTCCTATTATCCTCCAGGTTGTCCAGGATATCCTGGGCATCCGGATGGACCAAGTCAGCCCAGGTTTCCCATAGCGGGTGGACGATGAAGTCAATGAAACCCACCTGAAGAGAGACAAAAAACACATTAGATGTCGTAGGGCACAATGTAAGTTATTCTAGGATATCCTCCAACAGACCGCTACATTTCAGACAGTAACTAACCTGTGATCTCTCCACAGAGGCGGTGTGTTTGTCACACATGGGGCTGATATCCATGCCACGCTCCCTCTCTCGATCGCCCTGGTGAAAGAACTCATCCATGATGCGGTCAGTCCACTGGCGGTACAGCTCTAGAGACTTGGTGGGATTGCTCAGATCGGCGCAGTGAACCATGTTCCGCAAAACCTGAAGTAACATCAAAGTTTCAGCCAATTGTAATTCATCATGTGCCTCTAATTTATCTGAATCATCTTAGCTGGAGATTATGACATCATTGGATTTCCTAATGACTGTTTGAAAATTAGTTTCATTAAGAGGGGATGGAAAACAGGAAGACCTGTACCTGTATTCTGTCTGTGTAGTTGTCCAGAAGTAAAACTCCTGAGCTTGTCACTTTCTTCGTCTCTACCATGGTCTTCAGATCGGCCAGTAAGCCCATGTGCTTAGACATGTCCGTGGCCAGTACCTGTTAAGAGGGAACATTGAGCAAGATGTGTTAGCATATCAATCATTGCAGTGTAAATGAAGCAGATGGCCTGGAAGACAGGAAGGAAGGAAGGAAGGAAGGAAGAACCTCACCAGGTCGATGACCATCTTTCGGAGTGACTGTTTTTGTTTCTTAGTGAGGTTTTGGAAGATGTCACAGTTCTCCTCCTGTAGAAGTTTAAAGCCCACGGCTAAGTGGTGGTTCTCCAAAACCGACTCATCGTTATACATGAGCGCTAACTCGGAGTCTGTAAGAAATGAGGAAATACTCAATTAGTCCATGTGTCACCAGGAAATTTACGCTGGTAGTAGGTTGGGATTTAATAACACTCACTTGTATTGATGAGGAACTGGTTTGAAACACCAGGGTGGTCCACATCATGGATGGCTGCCGCAAAAATGGCTGCCAGGATCTCAAGATCGGTGAAGACAGCCTATTTAGGACAGATTGAAAATGGTGAGATACATGAAGTCCTTTGAGGAAAAAAAATATTAAAATTGTGCATAAAGAAAAAGCGTTCTTACATCTAGTGCAGGTGTGGACAGCAGAGTGTGAGTTGACTGGGCCACATCAGCAGCGTGAAGGCTGTTATGATAGGCCACATCTTGGTGGTAGTGATCCTCAAGGGTCATCATATACATCACAAATGTATCTGCTGGGATCTTGAACGTCTTGAGCAAGTCTCGTTCCTGTTACAAAGAGATGCAATATTATTACAATTCTGGACATTATTACATTTTTGTTGCAAAAAGTGGAAAGTCATAGGCTGGAGGAAGAACTGACCTGGAAGATGGCATACATAATGCAAGTTAGAGGCCGGTTGTTCGAATACTCTGAAACGGTAAAGATGTTCAGGCCCCATTTGTTCAGGTCTTCTAATTCCTGGAAAGGGAAGAGGCAAGGGCATGAGATCAACAGGACTTTTTTTTTTACAATCAAACCCACTAAAGAGCAAGCATTAGTCTTCTCCTTACCCTAGACAGCAAATCCTCTTTGTCGGTTTTGACGCCGAAGCGAGCGAGGCTGCAGTTGAGGATGGGCCCATGGGACACTTTCTTCACTCCACTGATCTGAGTCATCAGCTGCTGTTTTTTCTTCTTCTCGCGGGCTTTTGCTGTTTCCGAGGGAATCTCCATTTCATTCTGTTTGTCTGTAAGGAAAAGCAAGAACCAAAAGATTAGAACCATTTTGGACATTTTCCTAGTGGTTAAAAACCATAAACACAAATTTTCATAGAAAATGTGGAAAATGACCTTTTGCAAACTTGTAACCATGAAACCAAGATGGTCCCTAAATCTTTCTATACAGATCATGCACAAGTGTGTCAGATGTTGGTAGATCACATTCCAGATTACTCAAACTCTTAATTGTAGTTATTACACAGACACATACTGCACATGTCCGCATAAAAGCCCATTGTTGGAAAACCGGTGGCCATGTATTATGTTTCCCTAAGTGACGTAAGCAGACGCCTTTGGTTCAGGTGCAGGGCCATAGCTGAATAGCTCACATCTGCACTCCGTGCGTGTGCTTCTCAGGATTCGCTGCCCTTGAAAGGCAGAACAGACACCCAATTCAGAGCGACTTTGCCACTAAGCTATTCAAGCGGGGCTTGCCCCCTCTTTTCCTTCTCCTTTAGTTCCACTCTCCATTTTCACTGTGACAGACCTGTCAACAAACTTCAGGGGAGCCCGTGTCTGCCTCAAATGGCATCTCCAAAGGTCAACCCTCAGGAGATATCAATTGAAAAACAATGGCAGCACACGAAGGGCGTATCTCGAGGGCAAAAATGCAGTTAATAATGCCATAAACCTTCATGTTAAGGATTTTCTCATGTGGAAATGCTAATCCAATTTTTTCCCAAAAGCCACAGGCCCTGAGTGGACAGTATTCTTATTTCCATAACCAATATTTAACCAAAGGCAAGCCACATATGCAGACTGTGCATACAGATCCAAGATTCGGGAAAAAGAGAAAAAAAAAAAAAGCTGTAACATTGTGTTTGGATCAGATTTAATCTCATTATCTCTGCTAAACTCACACGTTTTGAAGCAGATAGTGAAAACGCAGAGGCATAAAGAGAGCAGTCACATGTGACACAGCACACAGATGTTTTTACAGCTAACATTTAATCCCTGGAATATAAAACTACTTTTAGTCCCAAATAATCCGGCCACAAAGTTGTACACCAATATTTTTGCAGAAAATTTTAAATCTCAATAATTGTTACACTGCAAAAATATTTTTCTAAAATCAACATTTTTGCCTTTTTTATCAGTAAATATATCTAAACATAATTTTTTTCTCACCAAAATAGATAAGTTTTATACATAAACATCAATACTTTGTCACATTTATATTTAAAGAAAGAAAAACAATTTACATTATGCAGATAAGTATAAAATTAGCATCATTTATTTGTAATTATAATAAATGCTAATGTATTATCTTTTATATTAGTTTATATAAAAAAAGTATAGATTTCTTGTTTTAAAAATGTTTTTAAAAAAATCACTAGTAAAAAAGACAAAAATACAGATTAAGAAATTATTTTTGTAGTGAAACAGGATCTCAGAAAGAGAAAGAGTTAAGATCTTGTGTAATGGGCCAAATGTGTGCCTGTTCGTGTGACTATGTGATGCCGTCTCGATGAGAACACAGGAGCTGGATGAGTCACAGGTTCTCTTGCCTGGATGTTCCGTGTTGGGGGTTCCACCGTCAGCATTACTTTACAGCAGAATACCATCCCCCTCTATCTCTCCCTCCCTCCCTCCCTCCTCTAATTCTGCTCTCCTTTTCACCCTCCCCTTCCTCTTTTCCAACTGCTGCATTGGGGATCTCTCTCCTCATGCAGAAATTAAAGTCTGATGCCATCTCACGGTATTCCACAAACAAATTGAGCCTTTGTGCCGTCTGATCTTTTAATGTAATATAGTTTTCTCAAATAATTCACTTATCAAACCTCTCACTTTTTCATAGCCTTTATCTTACAGTGAGTCTAAACTGCAGTTCAGCTCTGGAAATGACGCAGCCCAAATTCAATCCACAATGGCGTATACAGTATATAGTCAATGCTTAGCGCTGGCTGCGGGTGTTTTATTGAAAGGGTGAATATGTGTGTGATTACCTAGAAAGGTGTTGGAGATGAACTCCGACACCTGATTGCCAGATCTGCTCATCTCAGAGAAGTGCGTCAGCTCCCTGTTCAACATTCTCTTGAACTGGAAAAGATAGAGAGGGAGAATCATTAGTTAAAAAAAACTTAAAAGGTTCTACATTGAGACTTCAGCAGGGATTCCTTTCCCCAAAGTCCTGAAAAATGTAATATTTAACATTATTTTATATGGACATGCATTTACATACAATACCACAATGGGTTATGGGGTACGCAATACTAAATTTAACCAAATAAATTATATATATATATATATATATATAATTGAAATTCTAATATATTGAAATATCAATATCTCCTTTTAAAAATATTTATGCAGCATCTTAATTTCTCTTATTTCTAAATAAATCTCTAATACCTAATACCAAGCATAAACAATGCAAATGCATTAAGAATGTAACAAATGTATGAAGACTGAAGAAGTTAAATGCAGTACAAGAGGCAAAGTAGACACTGGTTGAGATTTCATTTGTAAATTGCAATTTTCAAACTTTCTGTCAAAGTTTAAGTAATATTTTTCTTTAGCATTTTTTACACATTTGATGTATGGATATATGTTCCAAAAACAACGATGTGGTACCAAAAAGACGCAATGTTGGAAGTAAATAAATAAACAAATGCATATATAATTAAATAAGTCAAAAAACGGCAGCCATATCCTGCGCCACATCTCAAATTTTTTAAGCTTCATCATTAAAAATGGATAAATCACAAAAGCGACCTTTATAGATGTGCTTTTTGACATCCAAATCAACATATCAACCAAAATACAACAGATTCATGTAAAAAGAAGAGTCCAAAATAGAGCTCGGGTCTAGACATTCCAGCACAGGATGCCACACAGCGAGACTTGCTGTAGGTTTTCCTCCTCAGTGTCTCCATAGACCACCAACAAACACCAAACCAAAACCAATCCGGAAAACAGCTCAGTAGCCACCATACACACCTTAATGTAACCCCAGGATACAGAGAGAAGGTAATTGGCCTCAGGCATTTTGGATCGTATTTAATCTCCCGAAATCCACAACAGCGCACTCCTATACCACAAAGGAAAAGAGCCAGAGAGAGGCAGACGAAAGGGATTCTTCTGGTTGCGAAAAAAAAAACGGAAAACCCCCTCTTCTCTCCTCTCCTACTCTGCTTGGTATGGATTAGTAGCTGATGAGCAGACGCGAGCTGTCTTCATGGCAGCTCTCGGCCGAATCGCTCCAGCATTGACTCTCCATGGCTGCGGATATGAGCAGGGGGCCAACAGCGGATGGGAACACCCGTCCTGAGCTGGAGGAGGATCCAGAGAGCGACGGCCGGAGCTAGAAGCGAAGCAGAGGGTCTGAAAGTGCCAATGAATTATGGAGGAGATGAAGGAGCAGTAAATCAGAGGGAGGGAGGGATGAGGGGAAAAAACGCTGGGATGCTCATCTGGCTGGAGGGGGGTCTTCCTCTGCTGGATTAGTGCCGCTCTGCTGCAGCACTACGCTCACGCTCTTTCATCATCTCTCTCGGTCTTTCTCTCTCGCCCCCTCCCTCTCGCGTCTCACCCCCAGTCTCGAATCTGTCAGCCCCAGCAACACGATCCATAGGCACATATGATTTGACAGAGATGGCAAAGAAGAGGGGGAGCCCCGCTTTGTTATGCGGGGAAATCACGAGAGGAAAAAGGCAGAACAGAAAGAGAGGGAGATTTATGCACGGACTTGGCTTTTTGCGAACAATTCATCGACCTTTGTCTTTAAGGGATTCCTAATTGAGTACAACATTAAGTACCCTTTTGTACTGCAAAGGTGATGCAGGGAAGATAGGAGTTTTAGATGAGTCTGGGTTCTTTCAGGCTCGGCCACTCTTATTTATTGCATTGCCATAATGCACAACTGTGCTATTTTTACTGTAGAGTATGGTGGGAGAGAAGACTTGGATAATTGCCTCCCTTTGTCTTTTTTCTGTGACATCAACTAAACCCACCCCCCACCCAGGCTCTCTCTCTGCCTCCCCGTCTACATCCGAACACCAATTACGCCAACATCCCAACGCCATGGCAACAGTGTCATGTGACACAGGCTGCCGCTGAGGCTTCCCTCCCTCCCTAGCTTCCAAAGATGGCAGCCCAGTAATCACGAGGACACCACTGCGTCTCAATAACATCTGCCAAATCAACCCCCCGAATCATTAAAACGGGGAGGAGGGCAGACGGACAAAATCAATGAGCCGTCCTTGATATAGCCCAAACGAGCAAAGTCCATTAACAGGGAAAACCCTCCAAATGGACAATCTTAAAAGTGTCCAAAACCACTAAAGCCAGCAGTCCAGACCAAGTCTTTCCATCACACTCGCCTACGACGGATAAAATGGTGCATTTCACAACCAACAGAAAGTAGATGCCCAATTACCCCAATAGTAAATTTCACAAATAATTACAAAGAAACAGCAAAGAAAACATTGAATTAAACGTGAAAGTTTGAAGTAGAAAGACTGAAATACAGCTGTATTCGTTGTTTATTTGCAGCAGAGACTGTTTCTGCTGATTAACGCAGGCATTTGAGGAGCTAAAAGGATTCATGCAATGATTTTGGAATATCCATGTGAAATGTGTGTGTCAGTGTTTATGCGCGTTCATGAGAAAAAGAGAGTGGGAGGGAGACAGGGGGAAAATAGAGGAGAATCTCTGCATTATGCTGCAGTGGGGGTTTCTCAGCAGTGCGCGAGATGTCTAGTCAGAGCTGTAAACAACTCTGACATATCATAGACCGTGCCTTCTGCGGCTCACATTTCTTCTTATCATCCGTATCAATAAATCCATGCGAGTGGCTCTTTCTAAGCCCTGTGAGAAACACGGATGTGCACCGACTTCTGCTCTGAGAAGAGTTAAGGGTGAATGAAGGGAATGTCATTCTCAAAGACCTTCATTCTGTAGAAAAACTCGATTAAAGCTAACCGATTCCATCAGCTAGGATTACCTGTGTAATGCATTTAGAGGCAAAAAATGTTATGCTGAAACCATTTCACCATTCAATCACCTTTTTTCCATCACTAGTTCATTTAAATAACCCTCCAAAGTGATGCTTTTTAATAAAAATATTCTCTCAACATTCCCTTCAGTATCTCAGTTAACATTAACTCATAAAATCTACATTATAATTAAAAAACAATAAGCTAAAATGCTGTGTTAAACCGTTTTGGAGTATAGTATGTGACAGTATAGTATGTGTCAACTTACCAAATGTATTTCCTGTCAACTACCCATCGGCATCAATTTCAGCAAATATGATCAGAATAATACTAGCTGGTAAGATTTTATTTGTGTATTTCTTTAAAATAGGACATTTAGCAATAGGATGCTATTTAATTGTCTCCACTAGTGGGCAGTATAAACCCACAGATGTTAAGTGAGATAGATTGTTTGGTCACCTCACACTTTTCGCCGGTGGCATGTTCAATCAATCTGTACTCTCATCATGACCTTGTCTAATGTATCAGTGTTTGATGTAGGACAGGCGAGTCAATCAATCATCAAAATACATTTAACCTTTTAGTTGTCCTCTGTCAATTGAGATTGTTTTTTTTCTAACCATATCTTTCTCTATACTGAAACTATCATGTAAATGACACTACATACACTAATGTTTTTTTTTTATTATAGCTATCTGAATGTCTTGTGTACATCATCTAGTCATCTAGTGGGGGAAACCCCCATCAGTTTCTTGGACAGAAATTGTGGGAGTTTTTATTGCAACGAATGATGTCATTTGAGAAGCACATAATTGCAAAATCGGCAAATTCTTAACAGTGATTGATATATGACGATGCCTGGAAGACGATTTTGAAAGGCCGTGACGCACATCAAGATGACAAATGGGTTCTCCGGTATATTAGAACAATAATATCACGACTTAACTGCTTCTAAAGAAACTCTTTGTGTGCTAACTATCACCGCCTGAGGATACAAGCCTGACTTTACACTTCCTCTAAACTTCTCATGTGTGCATGGATGCGTGTATGTGTGAAATCAACATTTGGACAGAGTAAATGATTAAATGAGTTATTAAATTACAGATTAAAACACTTTTAGCTGATTTAGTCTCAATTATATCCACACAACGAAGAGGCTAAATCGCTTAAGATTAGAAAGGAACTTAAAGCTTTAAAATTACAGATAACAGAGATTGTTTCTAAGGTTTGAGATGATCAGAAAAAGACAGCAAAAATGAAACCATTTAAAACGAACATTTACACTGCAACCATTTTAACAACAATTCTCATTCAACTGATATTGGTACACTTAGTCTACAACCAAACTAACTATGCAGGAACAGTAGTTTGACTTGAGAGCATTAGTTCAATATTACAGGGCTCCGATTGGTTTAGATTATAGATATGTGACTGTAAAACACATCCTCTCTTAAAGACCACTGCTTACCTGTCCACACTATTTCATCCACACTGACTGTCCCATATGCAACTTGTCAATACAAGAAAGCAGTGTGCAAAAAAACCTTTCCAAGCATTCACTTTTCATCTATAAAGCTCAGAAAAGTTCAGAAAGCTACTTTAAGCAAGTTATGTCCCCGAAAAGTCCACCAAGTAACACCCAACAAAAATAAACAGCGCACTAATAACTTGTAAAAACATAAAACAAAGGCTCACCTTTCCAAAAGAGTTCACTTTTCCAATCGTTCTCTGTTCTTTCGTCTCAAAGTAGCAAGCTCCCATTTTAAGTGAGTAAAGTTTTGTAAGTCCTGCTTTCTGTGAGCGTGTCACCCTGTCTTGAGGTTCAGTGTTTGACAGACAAGATAGCTTTACTGACTAACTTTGAGCAGTGAGCGCTTACTATTCTTCACTTCAGTGTGTGTGTGTGTGTGTGTGTGTTACTATATACACACACTCCCCCTCTAACCATGGGACCGCCTCCTTTTCTCTCTCACACACACGCGCGCACACACACACTAACACCATTGCAACATAGTTTATAGGGTAAATACTAGTGTGCGCTGGAATCAGATCAAGCATACTGATATGATCTCTTGAAGTCATCAGAGAAAGCTGGCACGGACAGCTGTGGGAAATCCTAAATTTCAAATCACAAGAATGTTATGCTGCACCCAAAGGAAAATCACAAAAGAGATCTTTAATGTCTCAATTGCTTCTAGACTGCCATGAGATTATAGAGAGGAAATCGAAACTTTTAAGTATCCTGCCTCTTCTCCAGAAAAATTAATTAATTTCACACATCTCCTCTAGCCTTTTAGGTGAGATCTCAATACTTTGAATAAGATGCAATCTTAAGTCTGCAAGATGCAATATTAAGTCTGCAATCAAATAATCAAAAGATTGAATGTAATATAAAAAAATATATGTGTATGATTTATGACATTATATTAATACAATTATTCTTATTATATTATATTAAGATTTAGTATCAATTCATATATTTCTCATCAAATAATTCTATAACACACATTACATTAATTTCACATCACATTAATTTCATAGCTCTATATTCCTAATGAAACAATTGTCTCATTCTTTCTCATTTAATTTCTCTATAGGAAAAAAAATGGTACAGAGCAACAACAAAGCTATAAAATGTCCATCTGAGACGGATTAAGTAATAAAGATATAATTAAGGATATAATATAATAAAGAAATAATGACCCTTTGATATAATTTGATTGAACTATCAAAATAGTCCAAAAAGAATCAGAACTTTTCAATTTGAATTATACTCTATTTGAGAATAGCTGATATGGATTTTACATGCACACACAAGCACATGCAGCTAAAGTTTAATGCACATCAGATGGCACAGATTTCCAAAAGGGTAGCAAAAGGTCAGACGTCTCTGTACAACTCTGATGGCTATCATTATGTTATTTCCACAAACTCATACAGAAGCTCCCAGAAAATAAGAGATAAGCTCCCAGATCTTGAGCCTATCATGATACGGTCACAGGCTTCGTGAATACGTTGTGGCAATACTGTGTTCACCTGCATGCACTGCATAAAATAATCAGTAGTTTTGTCGTTTTCCAGTAAAATTATATATATATATATATATATATATATATATATATACACATCCTTAGATTGATAAATTAACTTAAGATGCAAATTTATCTGCAATATTAAAGAGAAAGTCTTTGTTATTTTAAATATTGATTTTTCTTTAATTAATTTATATTCTCATTGAATTAGTCATCTTTTTTTAGTTGTTTAAGAATAAATCTAACACAATTTTGTGAGATTTATGCAAAAATAAATGAATAAATAAATAAGCAGATAGAGTAAGAAAAATAAAATTAAAGAAATTCTCAAGCATTAACATGCAAATTTGCATTACAAGTAAATTGTTTACGGATGATTAGATACTTCTAGTGGAAAACAGGCCAAAAATACTGATAACGAAAATTCTTCCCGAAATCCGTCCCTTTCCTGAACATATATCTGTATGACTGAGCCTCTGAGAGTGTGTGCAGGACTAAGTGAGTATTCATCCCTATTGTCTGCAGTAAAAGTCCCTGTGTTGCAGTGTATGCCTGTTTGACGTCAACAGAAGGAGAAACAAACAGGGAGAGCAGCCTTGCCCTGCCATACAGCACTCACTCCCATTGTAGTCTGGACCCAGCTAGAGCTTAGGAAGGAGACCGGAAACCTGAGTCACAGCTGCAGGACACACACACACACACACACACACACACACTGTGGAGCTATGCAGAGTATCGCATGAGCAGACAGTGACAGCAATTTGAAAACAACACACAATGATTAAAGGACAAAACAGATGAAAAACAATACAGGTTGAAACATGCGTATTTATGTCTGTAACTCTTACAGTGATTGTGCTTGTCATATCAGCAGACGATTCATAAGGAAATATTTGTGTTTCAAATTTAATTATATTGTTTATCATAATGCTCTGAATATAGAGTAAACTTGAATAAAGTGTAAAATACTGTACGAAATATTCAAGTCTTGAAAAAAACAAACAAAAAAACCTCGATATCCCAATAAAACATTTAACTTTACTAACTTCCTTGTTATAAATTGGCACACAAGCTGTCAATCAAATCAGAGCAACCCAAAGGGATGTGGAAAAACGTGTTGAAAAAAAAGAAAGGCATGCTAACACCCGTTTAATATGCTAGGAAGACTTGCTAGCATTTATAAAGACAATGTGACAGGCTGCTGGGATAAAGAAGTGCGTGACATCCCAACAAGAGTCTTTATACTTCAAATATCTTGGTAAAGGCAACACAGCTAAATATAATTTCAATCCAGCATATATTTAGCAAATCCAAATACAGTAAAACAGATTATATCTGAAACGGAGGCAAACGTGTTGTGTGGAATGCTAGAAAACAGCAGTCAGAATTTTTAAACCAAGCTAACTGGCACAAGAACCGACTTTCAATAGCCCCATTCACAAAGCGGCCATTGAGACAAGCAGTGCAAGAGTTTCTAAAACTTCCAGAGGACCTCTTAAAGTGATGTGCTGCACCTTCTCACCTTGTTGGAGGCCATGTCGCTGACGGAGCGGTACGTCTGGATGGTTTCCAGCTGATCCAGACACCAGTCCAGCTCCTCCATGGTCTCCACAGCCAGCTTCTGGTACGACTCGTCTGGACAGAGAGACACAGAAACGGGGGCACCGTGAAAATCCTGCTGCACGGCCACTCGAGCACAGCCCGCCAGACAATCCTTCATCCTGGGCTTGCACGCACACACACACACACTCCCAGACTGTATGAGAGAGTGAGAGTGGGTTCTTCTGAGAGCTAGCTGTGAGAGATTTCCCCCCCTGCTCGCTCCTTCTCATTGGCCTGGTGCTTGTGGCTAGGTGATACTGCCTCTTTGGCTGCCTGCCCCTTCCTCTCACCCCCTCCTGCCTCTCTCTGTGTGCCACTCTCACTCATGTCTGAGAGTTGGCTGTGGTGGGATGATACTGCCTGTTGGCTTTGTGCTCTCTCATTTTTATTAACCCGTTTGGGATCTCTCACTCTCTCTCTCATCGCCTCATTGCTCGCTGTATAAACTTGAACCTGAACACAAACACTTTTTCGTTGTGAAAAACACTTTTTATCTCGCAAAAAGGGATGTTTGTGTAAAAATGACATTTTAAGACATTTTCTGATATGATTTTGCTGGCTATGTACAATTAAGCAACATCTTGAGAAACATAAAAACATTTTTTTTGGGCCATTAAGTTTCCTTACATTTATGCATTTAGCAGACGCTTCTATCCAAAGCGACTTACATTGCATTTCAAGGTACACATTTACATTCTTAACAGTTCTTGCTTTCCTTGGGAATCGAACCCATGACTTTGGCGTTGCAAGCATCAATGCTCTACTATTTAAGCTACAGGAAATCCTTAAGACCAGATTCCAGGGGACATTGTATTGGCATCTTTGATTCAAACTTTAGTAGCAAACAAATTATTTTTTGTGTATCATTTTCAAATTGTGATTTATTTTCATCACATCGCTGCATGGCATTTTTAATGTACAAAAAAGTTTTAGTAAAACTAACTATACCATTCAACTTTATTCAGCAAAGGTGCATAAAATTGATCAACAGTGACCGTAAAGACCTTTACATTGGCTAATTAGATTTTTACAGCATTTTGCTGTCTATATTAAACATTTTGAATCTCATTGGCGAACAAAAACGTATAAATATAATGAGATATCAAATAACGCCAAAAGACTAAAATGGCTATAAGTAAGTAAGTAAGAGTAAGTAAGAATCTTTATTGTCATTGCACATCAGGTATACAATGAAATTACAGTGCATCTACGGCCAGTGCATAATAATATAATAAATATATAAACAATAAAAGATAAAAAAATAAAAATAAAAGAAGAAGAGGGAAGTAAACTATATATACACACCACATTTACACATCATAGCGCACACACACTATATGAGTTCAGTGACCTAATGGCCCAAGGAAAGAAACTGTTTTTGAGTCTGTTTGTCCTGCTCTATACTGTCCATTCCAACCCCGAAACTACAAAAGAAACAAAAGCAGCAAGAGAAACAACAAGCACATTTACATACACACATAGATGATAAACCATCACGTTTTATCATGCGCTTATATCAATGTCAAGATGTACGTAAATGGGCCTGCATCATTCCACGCACACCACAGAAATGCATGAAGCGTATAGGCGTGAGCTGTGTGTGTGGGTCTGGTTAAAGCATAGATGTGTTTACAGTAGAGGGGAGTTTGGTGAATCAGTGCCCTGTGGCTTTGGGACACAGACGAACCCTTGTGTTCCTCTGACTTTGCTGTGGTGGGTCTCCTAGTTGCAGAACAACACAGCAGCAGAACTTTAGCAGGGCCCTGTCGAATGACGGCACTTCTCTCTAACCTCCACACGCTCAAAGCCACACACACATATTTGCTCTCTGAACACCGGGAGAAAAAGCTCTTTGATGTGGATCATTTATTTTTCACTTTTTTTCTTTTCTTTTTTTTTTTTGCGTGTGGAGGGGTATACCTGCACACTACAACACCAAGGCTAAGTCGAAAAGCTGGAAAGTGGATTTTTGTAACAATATTTACATCTTCACAAAACTTAAAGGTACAGTTTTATACCTAAAAGAGAGCAGCTAAGTATAACCACATTTTAATATTGCTAAAGAAAATGTGAATAGTGCCTGCCCATGAAAAAACGCAGCCATAATTCTAGGGTATGCACTTGAGTGCCAGGCCAATGCTATGCGGTTGCTGGGGTGTTCTAAGTGGTTTGTAGTGCATTGGTGTCTGGTTGCTAGGGTGTTCTGGGTGGTCGCTAGGTGGTTGCTTACTGAACCAAGTGAAAAGACCACCCACAAGTCTTTTCTTGATATTTAAGTTTAAAAATTCAGTTTTAGCTTTAGGGAATATTTACATGAAATACTTGGATCAGTTTAAACAAATTGCCAATCTAAACAATTATTTATTTATGTTCAATATAAAAATACAAAAAATAAACAAAATCAGCTATAAATAATGCTGTAAGATCAGATGATAGATAGAGCAATGAACGATAGAACGATAGATAGATAGAGCAATGGAACCATAGATCTTTGTTTTTGTCTGTATTCCTAATGTAATGTGATATGCAACGGCAATCGTCATTTTCTTGGACTGGGCAAATGTCTATTGTCCATTTATGTGTGAACTGATTGTTTGTTCTTTACTGTTATTGTGAAGCGTCCTTGAGCTTGGGAAAGGCGCTATATAAATTAAACTTATTATTATTATTATTATTATTATTATTATTAGATAGATAGATAGATGGATAGTTATCTTTCTTCAAGACACACGTAACACACACAGACACACAAGCACAGATGATCATGGCGGATTCAGAAAAAGCGAGCAACGGTCCAAGATGCCGACATATGGTCATGCTGCAGTTGCCCACATACCATGAGGTCATCCAATAACAGAAAAATGGGGACATAACCCTGCAGTGACATTTACTAAAATATGGACAGCTAAGAGCTACTTCCCCCAAGAAAAGTAGTCATGTGACTTCACAATGAGCGGGTGACTCACTTTATTGTTTTTTTGCTGTCACAAAAATGTGTTTGCATGTGTGTCATACTGTACATACTTGTATATTGTCATTGTTCTCTATTAATTTAAACAGTCCATCAAGTCCATAAAACCATATAGGGTGTCTCATTTTTCATTGTAGGTTTTAGAAGGATGCTCAAGAGCGCCCCCTTTATGCCCACTATGCACCCACATTGGAGTGGACCTTGCAGCAAGGGTCCATGCAGCAATGTGTGGGATTGTGAAGGCTGAAAGAGCCAATGAGTTTTGATAAGTTGGTAATCTCCATATAGTGTGTGTGTGTGTGTGTATATATATATATATATATATATGTGTGTAACTGTATATATAAACTATTGTTTTGGTAACACTTTACAATAAGGTTTCATTTGTTAAAATTAGTTAACTACATTCGTTGACATGTACCAACAATGAACAATACTTCTACAGCATTTATTAATATTATTCAATGTCAACCTCAGCATTTACTAACACATTTTTAAAATCAAAAGTTGTATCTGTTAACATTAATTAATGCACTGAACAAACACCATGGACATTTTTTTCAACAATTGCAAAGGTTAATAAATGCAGTAAAAATGTCAACTAATGCATAATATTAACAAATGAGACCTTATTGTAAAATGTTGCCATTGTGTTCATCAGCTAATTATCATTCTGATAATTCCCGTCAAAACTAACATATCTTTCTTTGTGTGAACGACTTGACTGCATCACTTATGGGCATTATGGGTGTGGTGTTATAAGAAAAAGTATCAGCGCATACCAAGTATTTGTGTTTTGCGGCCACAAAAATGTGTTTGCATGCGTGTCATTTGAGCTTACTTCAGATCAGAAAATCAAGTCTTTTAGTCTATGGTGTTTATGTCATGACTGAGCGCTGTTGTGCGTATGTGTTTGAGCTATCGGATGTGGTGTGTGTGGTAACAGCCATCTCTCTGTCTTCCTGATGCGTGTGTTGAGAATTAGCTTGTGAGCATGTGCTTACATGTGTCATTTTTCCTTTCTCTCTCATTCTCTTCATCCATGCCCCTCCTGAATTAATGCCTAGTGTCTCAACGCTTAGTCAAGCAGTGGAAGGATAAACTATAGCATTTCCAATAAAGAGGAAGCATGAAAAGATGACGTCAGATCAAATCTCAATGGACCTATAAGAAAGCACTTCCTCTGTTACTGATTGTAAGAGGAGAGAGAGAGAGAGAGAGAGAGAGAGAGAGAGAGAGAGAGAGAGAGAGAGAGAGAGAGAGAGAGAGAGAGAGAGAGAGAGAGAGAGAGAGAGAGAGAGAGAGAGAGAGAGAGAGAGAGAGAGAGAGAGAAAGAGAAAGAAGAAAAAGAAAGAGAAAGAGAAAGAGAAAGAAAAGAAAGAGTTGGGGAAATTCTGGAAAAGCTTGTTTATAGCCAAAGGACATTGTGAAACAGCGTAACAGATGGGTTTCTCTCCGTGGACAGAGAATACTTGATAACGCATTCAATTAGAGGAAAAATCTATGAGATCAATTAAATATAATTCAGATTAAGCAATTATGTAGCTATTTGGGATTGGAAACCAATCGAATATTTTTTATTTTTTATTGTTTTATATATTATTGTTAATACATTTCACAAACAATTACAAAGAAACAGCAACACACTGAAGTAAACGTGATATTTTGAAGTAGAAAAACTGAAATAGTATTTTCTTGTTTCATTTCATTTACAAAAAAACCCAAAACATTTTTACAGTGTATCTTTCTATGGATAGACAGAAGAAATATTAATTGCCAAAAGCGTTATAAAAACAAATTGGAATTCAATTGAAAATACTTCTCTATACTTTAACAGTCCGTCAAGTCCATGAGACCATAGGGTGTCTCATTTGTCATTGTGGTTTAAGAAGAATGCTCAAGAGCGCCCCCTTTATGGCCACACATGGGTTTGGAGCTAAAAGTGGAATATTAACCAAAAGTCAATGCAGTAATGTGTGGGATTGTGAGGGCTGAAAGTCCCATTGAGTGTTGAAAAATTGTTAATCTCCAAAGAACATACAAAGAACTCAAGGTACAGCAA